AGAAATCTTAAATTAATGGAATTTTCTTAAAACTTCAGTTCCGTATGGAAAATATGAATTCCCTTCAGTCAAAAAACATTTGGGAAACTTAATAGACCTGATAAATCTTATATAACAGTGACACATCCAGTTTCTGGGCCATGCAGTGCAAGGTTCAAACCAATCAAATGTAATAAACTTATTAAACTGATGAATTGAAATAAGGAATGGTTCAAATTTTTTAACATGACATAATTATTATTTCATTTTTTTCTCTCAACATTTCCTGGTATTCAGTATCCATATACCAAAATAAATTTACAAGTGTAACTAATATTATCAATAAATACAATAACTCTAAAAATTGCAATAAATATAAATCGGTGATTTCTGATAAAACAGAATAAGGAATATGAAATCAAAATATGATGTGTGTAATATATAATAATTATGTATCAATTGAGCGATTGTTACGACACTTTCAACCGCAACAATACAGTGAAACCTGCTTTAACTGACATCTGGGGGGACGGAATAATTTGGTTGGATAAGATAGTGGGTCAGTAGAGTCAGGTTTCACTGTAGTAAGCTCCTGTCCAGCAGATAAGCAGGATAGCTTTGGTTCTCTTTCATAAAAATATCTAATCTTCACCGAGAAAATATCAACAATTATATATGCCAAACTGTATTAGTAGTATCAACAGTGGTGCATTTTATAGTTTCTCAACCAAGACTGGCTTGGTCAGATCATGTAGCGAATAAAAATTAAAATCTGAAAAGACTGCACATTTGGGGAAATATTGAATGGATGATGAAATTTTATCAAATTGAGGGTTGGGCTGTGCAGTGGTAGGCACACTCGGCTTTCACCAAGACTCCGGGTGTTCGATTCCCTTTTTGTATTGCGTCACCCGCCCGACCAAATGGGTTTTCTTCCGATATTCATACAATAAGATCCCCTACTGGCTTCCATCCGGGCCAACAAGAGTGATTCATGTAAGTTGGGAAAACTTAAATCACAATTGTTGTTTTTAAAGATTATGTAATCTTCTATCAAAGAAAATAGATGAGACATTGTCACATCAATCCATGAATTGCAATTAACTCATTCACCCCTGAAATTTCTTAATGAACTATTCCAACCTTTGAATTGGAAGAGTTCAAATATGTCTTCAGGGGGGTGAATGAGTAAATTAATTGTCTCAGGAAAAAAAGATCAAATACATGTATCAGTAATTTCATGAAATAAAAATCTGCTTTGAGTTCTGGCATATATAGATGTAAATATCTTCATTGTTAACAAGATATTCAGTCAATTAGAACACAAAATGAACAATAAATTGTATTTTCAAATCAATGTAAAATTAATTTAAAGATAAATAAACAGAAAAACAAAAAGTAATTTTGTCATCAACAAAATTCATATGAACATTATGACAATACTTGTCCTTATTTCTCTGAACTCTGAAATTTATTTACATTGTTGGTACATGCATCTTCCTTCCATGGAAACAGTATCATGCTCCAGAGAACAATAGAAATAGATCTGGGGATAGAATAAGACAACAGTATTGTGAAGATGATTTGTAATCAAACTTGACTCAATTCTGAATATATCGAGAAAATTCTTTAATAAAAGCATTAAAGAAAGAACACAAAAATAATATATGATAGTGTAAATATATTAAATTTTAACAACAATGAATGTATATTTCTTGATTATTTGTTTACCTATTTACACTACCAATATCCTCAAAACACTCAAATGTAAATATTTGGATAACATAATTAATGTTCTCTAATAATTCTACTAACAAATCTTAATTCAAATGTAAAAATAAATCTAAAGAACTTTATCACAGCAATATTTTATATTTTTTACCCTTTTACCCAGAAAAATTCAAGCTATAAACCTCTTTATTTAATTTATAAATTATTTCCTACAGATAAATTATAATATCAGGAATCATTTAATAATCTTTTACAAAGTTGTTTTACATATTCCAGTGGTATAAAATTCATAAATGAGGCAAGGTAGTCTAGTGGTAGGACGTCGGGCTCATGACCACTGTCACTGTGTTGTATCCTTGAGCAAGATACTTTTCTCCGCTAGTTCAAGTCTACTCAGCTGTAAATGAGTATGTGGTTGGGCAGTGCTAGAATTGTTGAATGCTAGCTGTGAGCACCGAAATGGCAGCACCGGCTGTATGCTCCCCAGGGAGTTGAAAAAGATATTGGCTGGTTGCAAAGGCCCTATAACCACGGATAATGATTTTGTGAACAGCTTTGAGAGGACCTACGAGCTAGGTTGTGATAAAGCGGTAAAAGAACATCAAATTGTTAATTATTATTATGCTTAACAAGTCTTGAACAGTTTAAAATATGGGAAACTAACAAATTTAACTGTCTGATTTCTAACCCACATTGTTGACCATGGAATTCAAGGGAAAACAGACACTATTTCTCCAACTTACAAATAAAAAGATTTCAGAAATATAAAACCATAAAATATCTCCTGAGAATATTTGTTTTAGAAGAAACTGGACGGAATCTGGAGTGAATAGCAGATTAAAACATCAGTTCAAAATAATTTGAACAGAATGCTTTTTAATGATATCATGAAAATCATATAAAGTGGAACGAACTACTTCACTTTTCCTGCACCATAAATATCTTTTATTTTCTGCAATATATAAAATATACTTGAAATAAAATCTGCTGTACAAGGTCAAATTTCTGCAATCCTGAACACCTGTATTCAAATTTCACTGATTTTTGCCAAATGATAATCTTTTAACTTTATTGTCAATCAGCTAAAATATAATATACATTACAGTTAAATAGTCAAAGGAAAAAGAATTTTCTAATATCCAAAAAGAAAAGTAATTTCATTTTCTTATCAAGTGAATAAACATCATAAATTGATTAATAGTTAGGGATATCTATATGATGAGGGATGCGGTAAGAATGGGAAAAAATTACTCATAATTTATTTCAGGTGTAAGAGCATGACCTATATGTTACCACTCGGCATATAATTCAAAAGACTGTTTATTTTAAATTCACAATTTATAGCTATAGTATACATCTAAATACTCAACCATTTAAATGGTGTTGATAACATTTCAATTAATATATGTTTGAAGCAGGATCACAAGGAAACCAGCACATTATCCGGACACCATTTATGAGTGACAAGGTCACCTACTTACTTTACATGTCCGATTATCTAACTTGTAGTTTCATCTTATTGATAAGATTAGCTTATAAGTTGTATGATTACTTGTAAGATTTCTTTTCCTTGCTAGATTATTTTTAGTTGTTATATGACTTATAAGATTATCTAGCTTCTAAGATAACTTGTAAGATTTTTATAAGTTTTAAGATAACTTGTAAGATTATTTTTTAGTTTTAAGATGTATGATAACACCTGTCCCTAACTTGTACGTTTACCTCACAACAATTGTACTTAACCTTAATTGAGGGATAGACCTGGGACAACATTTCGAGAAATTATTTCTATTGTCCACGTTGTCAGAATGAAGATATCGAATGTACATGTGATGCATAAATTATCTGTGAAGTTTCATGAAAATAAAAAAATGGCTGCTAATCTGTATCTAGGTAGTAGTGCAAGTAAAATATATAAGATAATGGCACCTCAAAAAATCCTACAGTACACAAAGTACGCTGATCTATCCTTAGCTGTAATTGTATTACAGTTCACACAAAACTTGTTAACTAATTCACCCCTATATTTTTAAACTGGACTAGCCCAGTCTTTAATTCGGTAAGGTCCAAATGTGACTTTAGAGGTAAATGGGTTAACACGTTTTAATCGTAATTGTCAGCAATTTATTGCACAAATAAATAATACAGAACAGTTATAATGATTATTTTGCGCATTTCCTGAGAAATACAAATGTGTACCTTCCAAAATTTATTATCACATTTTTTTTCCTGTTAAAGTTGAAATTAAATTCATAAAAAAAAAGCTTTTTTTTGCTTTACATTCTTTTTTATAACATTTTCAATAGTTTACATTATAGTAGAGATATCTTTTTATATTGTGTTTTTGTAGATATCAGACAGGCTAATACTCTATAAACTTATCTGTGTAGATATTTCTGTAGATATCTATAAGCTAGTACCAGTGTATTTGAAATAGCTGTATTTCCTTAGATATATAAATTTTAATTTAACTTAAAACAAATTGAAACTTACAATTTTGCTCTAATATATAATACTTTCCAGCATATTTCTTCCGTCACACATTAATCATCCATATATTGGCACCTAATACATTTTAGGTTGGCATTCTGTAGTATTTCGTTTATATATATTTCATCTGATTAATTAACACATGGAAAATATTAACAATTTTAGAATAAAAAAAAAAAACTTTTTAAAACAACATTGCCAATTTAAACAGACAGAGTTAAGGCTTGCTGTGAAATTTTGATCTCTGGTAAATGATACTTATCCGGGAAATTTGGAGGGTCCCGGGTTCGAACCCCGATCTGGCGGTTACATTTTCGCTTTCTCCTGTTACAGTAGAAGGCATCTAGAAAATGTTCTTTGTTATTGACACATTCACGATTTCAGCGTCAAACGGGATATAAAGATTTGATTATTCTGTATGAAGGTATTCCGTCTTTGTGTATTGCAGAGTTATCTGCTCTTGTGAACAGGAACTGATTGTTACGTCATTTGTTTGTGAGAGTAATTACGTCATCAATTTTCGAGAAAACGACTTAATTTCTCACACAAACCAATGACGTAACAATCAATACCTGCTCACAAGAGAAGATAACTCTGCAATACGCAAAGACGGAATAGGGATATGTAATTTCTATGTTTGGGAGTTTAACGTCGATATATCTTATACCTACCTCTAATAGACTCTGTAAGTATATATATCAATGCAGATATAGTTTAGATTGCATCAACATTTTCCTGATGTATATTATTTTTCAAGGTCAGACACAGGAGCACTTCTGGAGATCATNCCCCCCCACTCAATCAGTCCCTGGGATCTGTTAAATTAGCTGTCACAATATATAGATAAAATTAACTTCACATCATTATCACAGACTTAAAAGTTTTTTTCTACAACCCATTACTTTTTCAAATTTTAGAGTATTCATAAAAAGCTGTTTTACCCTTGTTTTTCTTGTTCTGACAACACCTGTCAAAATATAGATATCTTCTTCACAGGAATTTCTGTTTTTCAAAATTTTCTGCTAAAAATAAGGGTTATTTTCCTACATTTTCAACATTTTATCATAATTTGCTCAGAAAAAGATTTTGAGTAACAGATCAAAATAATATTGTTCTTAAGATAACGTTTTTCTTCATTATATGTTTTCAAACAAGAGTCATAATTACGTTCTGTTGTTCAGTCAGTAAATGGAAAATGGTACTTTTTCAGAATATGAAATAACACATTATTTAGGTCATATCATTTATGACATATTAATATCATAATGTTAATATATATATATTCAATGTAAGATCTCTCTCATAAATGTTTTACAACTGTATCGGTGCAACATTGCATATAAAGGTGACAGGTTTTACATAACACACGTCATGACAATCACTGACCAATCATGATCACATTTAACCATGTTTAGATATGCAAATAGGTGTTTTTACACAGACTAGGTGATTTATAACAAGTTCATAAACACAGTATACTTGGCTTTCAGTATCTCTTTTATAACAGGGAGTCTTTATTCGGAGGAATAAATAAAATAATTCCATTATATGATACGTCCGACGAATCTCCTGAACTTCCGTCATTCTAATCCGAATCCCTCCGCATTGGCAATGGCTGTTACAAGCTTGGTCTTGAGAACTTTGCGACTTCGGTAAGCTGGCAGAACAAGCTGATTGAAACACGTGTGAGACATTGGCAGTCTGCAATGAAAAGGAGATAATTACAATCTGGAGAACAAGGGAGACAACTGATGTCTCCTCAACACAACATTATTAAAAGTGTACTGTGTACTCCATCCTTCATACTTCAAGAGTTACGCTCACTTACGCTCTCTGCACTGCACCGCTAGAAGATGTCATAGCACAATTGAAGACATGCTCTAGATATTTGATTGGTCTCAGTTAAAAAACAAGAGGCCCATGGGCCTAAACGGTCACCTGAGTCTACAGTATTTATTTTTGTTGTTGAAATATGTACCAATTTGAGTAAAAAATAGTATAATGTTAACTTAACTTTGTCAGGACCATGAGCTGATCATTCCTAGACCAATTTTAAGTGAGATCGGCCTATTAGAACTTAGTAGCAAAATAGCGGCCATGGCAGCCAAATTGTATTTCTGATTGACCCGAAAAATAACAACACTTTGTCAGGACCATGATTCGATCATTCCTACAAAGTTTCAGTTCAATCGGCCAAGTAGATCTTTACTTTAAGTTTGAAATAGTTTACCAAAATGGCAGCTGTGGTGGCCATATTGGATTTCTGATCGACCTGAAAAATAACAACACTTTGTCAGGACCATGAGTCAATCATTCCTACAAAGTTTCAGTTCAATCGGCCTAGCAGAACTTGACTTTAAGTTTGAAATATGTTTTCAAAATGGTGGCCGTGGCGGCCATATTGGATTTATGATTGACCTGAAAAATAACAACACTTTGTCAGGACCATGAGTCGATCATTCCTACAAACTTTAAGTTCAATCGGTCCAGCAGAACTTGACTTTAAGTTTGAAATAGGTTTTCAAAATGGCGGCCGTGGCGGCCATATTGGATTTCTGATCGACCCGAAAAATAACAACACTTTGTCAGGACCATGAGGCGATCATTCCTACCAACTTTCAGTTTAATCGGCCCAGCAGAACTTGACTTTAAGTTTGAAATGTAAAATGTTAACGGACGACGGACGACGGACGACGACGGACGAAAACGGATAGCAATAGGTCACCTGAGCTTTAGCTCAGGTGACCTAAAAACCTGACCAAACACCAGGCTGATACCTGTCCTTTGAAGTTTACAGAGGGGCGACAACAGACTTCAAAGTACGGCAATTTTACTTTTACGCAACCATGAGATTCTTTTGATGTACATCAAAGGATCAAACTAGTCTTCTTGTCTCATCAACAAAGTGGTGCACACTGAGCCTTCATTTTGTCATGACATAATCCAGGGGTGCAAAGAGTGTATGCGAAGGTAATCATTGAAGTATCATGAATGTGTGCACTCACAATAGTATACACGCCAAGTGCACACCCACTCTCTGACACAACGGTTTCCTGGTCACAGGCACCACTTAACGGAAAGGGAAAACGCAACAGGACAAAAATGAGATTTGAACCCATGACCATGAAGCTCTAGACATCTAGACACTCTATCCAAATGAGAAATCTCGACTATAATCAATGGTAGCCATTCAAACCAGTCCACATAACAGTAGTGAATTTTAAAATGATTTTAAAGCGTCAAATGTATTTCCAAACATGGTATTGTATTATTCTTGATGAACATGATTATGGTTATGAAGTTTATTATCGTGACAAAAAATTTCACTTGTAATATTATTTTGTGGATCATATTTTTGCTCTCACTCTATTGAACCACGATATCGTGAAAATATCCCTGAGGAAATATTCTGCTATACGTCATTTCTAAACTCACAAATCAGTTCCTTCAATACGTGAAATTTTGAAGGTCATTTCGGCCATGCCTCCTATAGGAATTCTGTCACTCCCAGTCGTGAACAAAAGTAGTTTCTTCTGCATATCAAACGTCATCGATAAGACTGTATCCCAGAAATACCTAAAAGAGCAATTAAAAGGACAGTATTTAGTATTAAAACGAAATTGACATTGACAGGAACATATACATGCACTATAACCAAAAGATTGTATGAACAAGCAAATATGTGTTTCAATTTTCTGTCTTCACCCAGACATTTGTTTTCAAACACTGCAAAGAATTCACTACAGTTCTATTTCAACTGAATATAGTATTTCTTTAAAGATTTCACATGACAACGTGGATACGAGTTGATCTCCCTGCTGAACACCTTGTTTTCCAATTTAAGTAGCCCCATAATCTTTCCCTTATCAAGTAGTCAATTCATTCACCTGGGCCCATTTCAGGTATCCAGTTCAACCAGGTGAAACGGTTGAACCGGAAAAGAAACGACAGGTGCAGATCTGATCCGAGGCTGACCTCAGAAATATTCGGCACCTGTAAATTGAGGGGTCCAGACGTACCTGACCAAAACTAAAATGCTGACTACTACTAGTTTTCGTTATTTCTCCATAAAACAAGGTCAATCCACATGTAGACTTATAGATACGTTATATAATTGAGCGGACGTGCGAAAGAAGGACATACTATCCTTGCTCTATTGTTATTTAATCTCCAAAACAGCATTTTTTACCTCTGCCTCCAGTTCGTCCAAGTGCGTTCCTTTATCGTGGAATATTTCTGCGCCACCTGCAACGTTTCAACCAGGATATGCCAATGTGACCTGACTAACCTTTTTTAACATATTGCTACCATATATACCTGACAGTGACGTCATGTACGGCTAAATCCCCTACCTGACGGTCGAGTCCTGTGCGTTGTAGCCGTCGTATGAAGCCACTTTTCTTAGCTGGTTCATGTCTACCTGAGGGTTGCCACACACTAACATCTCCACTTCCTGTGGCCGCAACATCTGTACAGAGCCGCAAGCGTTATCAACGTCGTGCATATAGTAAATATCTAATTAAAGGTCATATGATTATAGTATACTGTATTACTTATCATCAAGGTCATCCGATCACTGTATGCAGCATTACTTTACACCAAGGTCAAGGTCATTCAATTACTGTTTACAGCATTACTTTACACCAAGGTCAAGGTCATTCGATTACTGTTTACAGTATTACTTAATATCACAGTCAAGGTCATTCAATTACTGTTTACAGTGTTACCTAATATCGAGGTCAAGGTCATTCGATTACTGTTTACATTGTTACCTAATATCGAGGTCAAGGTCATTAAATTACTGTTTACAGTGTTTCCTAATATCGAGGTCAAGGTCATTTGATGACTGTTTACAGTGATACCTAATATCGAGGTCAAGGTCATTTGATTACTGTATACAGTGTTACCTAATATCGAGGTCAAGGTCATTTGATTACTGTATACAGTGTTATCTAATATCGAGGTCAGGGTCATTTGATTACTGTATACAGTGTTACCTAATATCGAGGTCAAGGTCATTTGATTACTGTATACAGTGTTACCTAATATCGAGGTCAAGGTCATTTGATTACTGTATACAGTGTTTCTTATCATATAACTAGAACATTTTTGTTTTCTGGCATAAAAAATTGTTCATCGCCAAGTTTGTAAATAATACATACAGTATAACTTCCACCCTCTGCCCTCCCCAACGAGGACGAATTTATCATGACCACAAATATTAGTACACAACGTTAACATGCAATATATTGTAATTACAAGTGAAGGCGACATTAACAGGAATTTTATAGTAAAGGATGAATGTTTCTTGGTATACAGTATATTTTTAGCACTACTATGATCTAAAGAAGAAGTTCTGTATACTTACAATGAGTGCGTTTGAAGCACACACACTATGGAAACCATGGTAGAAGGCCTTGAACTGAGGATATATACCCTTGTTGACAATCCAGTCCATATACAGCTGTATATATTCTGCAAAATAAAAATGGTGATACACATTGTATAAACATTAGCTAGAATTCCATGGAAGGTGTAATTAACTCCACCCTGCACTTGTCAAAAGGAAGGGATGGTATTCATACACTGCAGTGATTTGTCTTGCTCAGTTTTAAAGCAAAATACAGGTTGTTTCCCCTAGCTAAAAATGCTTTATTTTCCCAAAAAGACCAAAAATGAGGAATATATTCCCAATTTCAATAAAAAATAATGCTGCATTTTCCCCAATTCATAAAGGAACAGGCTGTTGTAAAATTAAGGTAAAAAAGCACTGCTCTGATATATCATTTCATCCTCAATACTCCAGGGGTTATGCTCACTTTTGCTCTTGGCACCACTGGAATATGTCATAGCAAAATTGAAGGCACACAACTAGCTATTTGATTGGTCTGAGGTAAAAGTAACCTGACCAATCGCTATGACTTCATAAACCTATCTTTCGAAGATTACAGCAGAGCAATACCCGATTTCAAAGGCAGTCAATTTTACCGTTACGTGACGGACATATTCTTTTGATGTACATCAAAGGATCAAATTAGTCTTCTCGTCTCATAAACAAGGTGGTGCACACCGAGCCTTTGATTTTGCTATGACATATTCCAGGGGAACAGAGAGCGATGGATCGAGGATGATATATTAAGTTTTGCTGGTACATATCTCCATTACTCCATTTTGAAATTTCGACAGTAAACATTAGAAGTGTTACCTGTTAAGTAATCCTTGGGAAAAAAAACAGAATTAAAGAAAGGAAAAAAACTGAACTTAGCGATACGTTGTTGTGATTCAAATTCTATACATGCATAGATGTCACATTATTTACAGCAACCAAGGGAAATTCTGAGCTGGCCGACAAGTTTCACAGCTGTATTTTGTGATTTTCACTGTCTCTATTATTTTTCTTCATGTTTAAAGTTTGATATGATTAAATATCAAGCAATGTAATATATAAACTTAAAAATTTAATGCTCAACTCTGTCAGAAAACTTTGACTTTCACTCTTGTCCATGAGACCATCATCTGGTTAACTCATTCACACCTGAAGACACGTTTGAACTCTTCCAATTCAAAGATTGGAATAGTTCATTACGAAGTTTCAGGGGTGAATGAGTTAATCAGGACCATATATATATCTCGAAAGTAATACTAAAACTGTATACCAGGAAATGTTCATTGTAGTTAACTTTCACCTTTTTCACCCTCCCTAATGATGGCGAGGAGGGTGAGTTTATCATGACAGTGAATTTCAGTACACAACATGCAGAATATAGTATACGCCAACATCGACAGACGCCTGGCCACCCAGAAAGACCGTTATCAGACTGGAACTATCAACCTGATGACCTACGCCAATTCAGCGTCACAGCTTCTGCATCTTGGATAGAATGTTTTGTGCTAGAGCCTTTAGTGATATATATAGAGAATGTGATTTGTGCTAGAAACCTCAGCTTCATTTAGTGGTTTACTGTTTATATTTATGTTTAATAATTATCTTTAAGGGCTGTATTATATATGTATTACTGTTATATGTATGAATAGAAACTTTATTTTATTACTGACATTAGTGTGGCTTAAATTAAGGAACTTTTTTTTTCATATAATGTAATGTTACTTTTATTTTTCATATAATGCAAATATTAATATTTAATTATTATTTTCTATTACTTAGTGCTGTATTTAATGTGTAGTACAGTTATATTTATGAATAAAAACTTTTTATCCATTTTATTATTGACTTTAGTATCATACCTACACTATGAGTTGACATTCTTAGTTGAAACAGGCTATATAACTAAACTTCAAAGGATTTCCTGTAGAAACACCTTCCTTTCAATTCTCCAGAGTTGGTGTTCGGGGAATAAGCCTTACATGTGATGGGCGAAATTAACACTGGGCGAGCGTAGATTTATCAGAAAAGGGTGAATAGTTAACAGGGTGAATAGTTAACAGGGTGAAAATTTCACTGTATACAATTATATCATTTATTTGAAGAGCAAGATAGGTAAACTATCAAAGGTGTACAATTCTACATTTTAACATTAAGAATTCTACATGTCCCGTCTACATTTATTGAACTTTTTCTTGGTTTGCCATAAAATCTTCCAGTTTTTTAGCATTGGGATATTTGACTAGGTTGAATATTCCATAAATATCTATGGAACAGCTGCTGGATGATAATTACATTTTGCCTGACTTCCTTCATCAATGTTAAAATATTTTGTATACCGGTATGTTATACTGCTTCCAGACAATGATTAAACAGTGAAGAGTTCCAATATCGACCTACATGAATATTTACACTTGCTCCATAAATACTCCCAACAGATATGGACGTAATTAATATTTATTTGTGTACACATTTTCAATTATCTCAAAAGAGACTCAATGGTCCTCTGTTGCTCATCTGTTATTCAATATTTTTTCGCAAACACATCTGACGTACGTCTGTGCCCTTCAAAATTAAAGTGGGTTAAAGTCAAATTAATTTAACAAAGTTAATTGTAATACAGCCAACAATACAGGTTTTAAATATTTTAACAATTCTGTCTGCTATCACATTATTAAGAGTGAATCAATTTAATACAGTTGATCAAACATGATAGCCCTTCTTCCAAGCATGATATTGGCTAAATAATACATCATTACCCTGTGCCTTTTAGACATTTAGAAGTTGTTTAAACAGTACAGTTGATTTCACTTAATATCAATTCTTATTTGTCAGAGGAAAAAATGACATTAACTGGAACATGACATTAACTGGAACATGACATAAAAAGAAAACATGTGTTTTTTTACTGTTTCATGATCTGATCACCTGTCAAGTGACCATATTTAAATGTCCAAGTGATCATATGGTTAAACGATCGTTTAGTAAAAATATTTGTAACGGACATGGCTTTTTCTTTATTTAATGTGAAATAATTGTGTTTTTTATGCGAAATAATGAATATGCAGCAAAAACACTTGCTAAATTCTGGTAGTGCTCTATTACGTCTTTTCGTATTGCAGAGTTATCTGCTCTTGATAGCAGGTATTGATTGTTACGTCATTTGTTTGTGAGAGTAACGTCATCATTTTTTGAGAAAATAACGTAATTTTCTCACACAAACTAATGACGTAATAATCAATACCTTCTCACAAGAGCAAATAACTCTGCAATACGAAAATATGGAATGCTCGTATGTGATTAGATAGGCCTAGATCAACCTGTAGTTGTTGTCGGCTGCTAGTCTGTACTCTGCTCGGAATTTAGTCGTAAAGCATGTTATGTTGGTACATATTTACCTTATTCTTTTCAATGCTTTGATTTTAGAAACATCATGTATAACAAATTTGACCTCTATGACCTTTAATTTTTGCAAGTACATTTATTTGAACTCACTTGATGACTCTCAATACCAGCACACTACAAGCTAAGTACCATGACCGTGATTCTTAGGTATTCAGAAGAAGTAGCTTGAAGTTTCAACACAGTTGACCCCTTAACTTTGAAATTAGCTCAAGGTTATTCATTACAAACAAATAAACAAAACAAAATGAGAAGCTTAACCAAGGCATGGTATTGGCTTTATATCACAAAACATGACATTTTGGGTAAATATATAAGTTCTTTCAATATTTTGGGATAAAAACAAAATAATTTGTTTACACATTGGGACATGACACATTTTAATCCCAATGACCATGGAAGTTGGTCGATGTCATGTATTTAAACAATCATGCCTGCTTCAAAACAATTATAATAGCTTTTTATCCCAACATGGTAATGATCTCCTTAAATGTTTCTCAGTTATTCAGAAGAAAAAAAATTTAGACAAAAAGTTGACAGTGGATTGACTGCAAGGATAGATGTATGTTAGATGCATTATCATCTGACAGGCATTATTTCTAGGGGAGATAATAAAAAAAATGCACCAAAATATTGTTTTTAAGAAAATGATGTTAGATCTCATGTAAACAGCTCATGTGCTGTTTGTTGGCAAATCTTTCATATGGGTTGTATCAAGTTTGTTTCCCAGAAGATAAACCCACTTTAATAGCAATGCACTGATATTGCAAACACTTACCTGCTCTGTTGCTCTTGTTTACGGGGATATTAGCACCACCAGTTTTGAGATCAACTGTCCGTACATCTCCATACTCTGTCAGAGATATCTGAAACAGACATGTCACACTCTACTAGGACTCAACAAATTTTCCTTAATGCAGGGGCCATTTTACACCGAAATAAAAGTATCCTTAATGCAGGGGCCATTTTACACCGACATAAAAATATCCTTAATGCATGGGCCTTTTTACACCGACATGAAAGTATCCTTAATGCAGGGGCCTTTTTACACCGACATGAAAGTATCCTTAATGCAGGGGCCATTTTACACTGACATAAAAATATCCTTAATGCATGGACCTTTTTACACCGACAGGAAAGTATCCTTAATGCAGGGGCCTTTTTACACCGACATGAAAGTATCCTTAATGCAGGGGCCATTTTACACTGACATAAAAATATCCTTAATGCATGGGCCTTTTTACACCGACAGGAAAGTATCCTTAATGCAGGGGCCTTTTTACACCGACATGAAAGTATCCTTAATGCAGGGGCGTTTTTACACCGACATGAAAGTGTCCTTAATGTAGGGGCCTTTTTACACCCACATGAAAGTGTCCTTAATGCAGGGGCCTTTTTACACCGACATAAAAGTATCCTTAATGCATGGGCCTTTTTACACCGACATAAAAGTATCCTTAATACAGGAGCCTTTTTACACCGACATGAAAGTATCCTTAATGTAGGGGCCTTTTTACACCCACATGAAAGTGTCCTTAATGCAGGGGCCTTTTTACACCGACATAAAAGTATCCTTAATGCATGGGCCTTTTTACACCGACATAAAAGTATCCTTAATGCAGGGGCCTTTTACACCGACATGAAAGTGAAGAAGTTGTTTCACAATTCTACCACCTAAAACAATACACATTTGTATGCATGTCCCCACAATGAAGTGGGTTGTCAATTCAGAAACAAAACTAGTGCGTATTTTCACTTAATCAGTTCATTTAAGGTTTATTTATTTTGTTTTAAAGATCCGAATAGCAACACATACAAGCTTTATTTTTTTTTCTGATAAATAGAACTTGAAGAAAGGAGGGATTGGCTTTTTACCATTCTATGTACAGAAAGTAGGGAAAAGTGTGGAGTGGGCTTATTACCGGGCACCCACTCTATGTACAGAAAGTAAGGAGAAGTGTGGGGTGGGCTTATTACCGATCCCCAACTCTATGTACAGAAAGTAAGGAGAAGTGGGGGCGGGCTTATTACCGGGCACCAACTCTATGTACAGAAAGTAAGGAGAAGTGTGGGGTGGGCTTATTACCGATCACCAACTCTATGTACAGAAAGTAAGGAGAAGTGGGGGGTGGCTTATTACTGGTCACCCACTCTATGTACAGAAAGTAGGGAAAAGTGTGGAGTGGGCTTATTACCGGGCACCCACTATATGTATAGAAAGTAAGGAGAAGTAGGGGTGGGCTTATTACCGGTCACCGACTATATGTACAGAAAGTAAGGAGAAGTGGGGGTGGGCTTATTACCGGTCACCCACTATATGTACAGAAAGTAAGGAGAAGTGGGGGTGGGCTTATTACCCGTCACCCACTATATGTACAGAAAGTAAGGAGAAGTGGGGGTGGGCTTATTACCCGTCACCCACTATATGTACAGAAAGTAAGGAGAAGTGGGGGGTGGCTTATTACTGGTCACCCACTCTATGTACAGAAAGTAAGGAGAAGTGGGGGGGGGCTTATTACTGGTCACCCACTCTATGTACAGAAAGTAGGGAAAAGTGGGGGGTGGGCTTATTACCAGGCACCCATTCTAAGTACAGAAAGTAGGGAAAGTATGGAGTGGACTTATTACCGGGCACCCACTCTATGTACAGAAAGTAGGGAAAAGTGTGGAGTGGGCTTATTACCGGTCACCCACTCTATGTACGGAAAGTAGGGAAAAGTGGGTGGTGGGCTTATTACCAGGCACCCATTCTACGTACAGAAAGTAGGGAAAAGTATGGAGTGGACTTATTACCGGGCACCCACTCTATGTGCAGAAAGTAGGGAAAAGTGTGGGGTGGGCTTATTGCTGGTCACCCACTCTATGTACAGAAAGTAAGGAAAAGTGGGGGATGGGTTTATTACCAGGCACCCACTCTATGTATGGAAAGTAAGGTAAAGTGGGGGGGTGGGCTTATTACCAGGGACCCACTCTATGTACGGAAAGTAGGGAAAAGTGTGGGGTGGGCTTATTGCTGGTCACCCACTCTATGTACAGAAAGTAGGGAAAAGTGAGGGGTGGGCTTATTACTGGTCACCCACTCCATGTACAGAAAGTAAGGAGAAGTGGGGGGTGGGCTTATTATCGGTCACCCACTCTATGTACAGAAAGTAAGGAGAAGTGGGGGTGGCTTATTACTGGTCACCCACTCCATGTACAGAAATTAAGGAGAAGTGGGGGGTGGCTTATTACTGGTCACCCACTCCATGTACAGAAAGTAGGGAAAAGTGGGGGGTGGGCTTATTACCAGGCACCCATTCTACGTACAGAAAGTAGGGAAAAGTATGGAGTGGACTTATTACCGGGCACCCACTCTATGTACAGAAAGTAGGGAAAAGTGTGGAGTGGGATTATTACCGGTCACCAACTCTATGTACAGAAAGTAGGGAGAAGTGGGGGGTGGGCTTATGACCGGTCACCCCCTCCATGTACAGAAAGTAAGGAGAAGTGGGGGGTGGCTTATTACTGGTTACCCACTCTATGTACAGAAAGTAAGGAGAAGTGGGGGTGGGCTTATTACCGGTCACCCACTATATGTACAGAAAGTAAGGAGAAGTGGGGGGTGGGCTTATTATCGGTCACCCACTATATGTACAGAAAGTAGGGAAAAGTGTGGAGTGGGCTTATTACCGGTCACCCACTCTATGTATAGAAAGTAAGAAGAAGTGGGGGGTGGGTTTATTATCGGTCACCCACTCTATGTACAGAAAGTAGGGAAAAATGTGGGGTGGGCTTATTACCGGGCACCCACTCTATGTACAGAAAGTAAGGAGAAGTGGGGGTGGGCTTATTACCGGGCACCAACTCTATGTACAGAAAGTAAGGAGAAGTTTGGGGTGGGCTTATTACCGGTCACCAACTCTATGTACAGAAAGTAAGGAGAAGTGGGGGGTGGCTTATTACTGGTCACCCACCCCATGTACAGAAAGTAGGGAAAAGTGGGGGGTGGGCTTATTACCGGGCACCCACTCTATGTACAGAAAGTAAGGAGAAGTGGGGGTGGGCTTATTACCGGTCACCCACTATATCTACAGAAAGTAAGGAGAAGTGGGGGGTGGGCTTATTATCGGTCACCCACTATATGTACAGAAAGTAGGGAAAAGTGTGGAGTGGGCTTATTACTGGGCACCCACTATATGTACAGAAAGTAAGGAGAAGTGGGGGGTGGCTTATTACTGGTCACCCACTCTATGTACAGAAAGTAAGGAGAAGAGGGGGAGGGCTTATTACCGGGCACCAACTCTATGTACAGAAAGTAAGGAGAAGTGGGGGTGGGCTTATTACTGGTCACCCACTCTATGTACAGAAAGTAAGGAGAAGTGGGGGTGGGCTTATTACTGGTCACCCACTCTATGTACAGAAAGTAGGGAAAAGTGTGGGGTGGGCTTATTACCAGGCACCCATTCTACGTACAGAAAGTAGGGAAAAGTATGGAGTCGACTTATTACCGGGCACCCACTCTATGTACAGAAAGTAAGGAGAAGTGGGGGGGGGCTTATTACTGGTCACCCACTCTATGGACAGAAAGTAGGGAAAAGTGTGGAGTGGGCTTATTACCGGTCACCAACTCTATGTACAGAAAGTAGGGAAAAGTGTGGAGTGGGCTTATTACCGGTCACCCACTATATGTATAGAAAGTAAGGAGAAGTGGGGGTGGGCTTATTACTGGTCTCCCACTCTATGTACAGAAAGTAAGGAGAAGTGGGGGGTGGCTTATTACTGGTCACCAACTCTATGTACGGAAAGTAGGGAAAAGTGGGGGGTGGGCTTATTACCAGGCACCCACTCTATGTATGGAAAGTAGGGAAAAGTGTGGGGTGGGCTTATTACCAGGCACCCATTCTACGTACAGAAAGGAGGGAAAAGTATGGAGTCGACTTATTACCGGGCACCCACTCTATGTACAGAAAGTAGGGAAAAGGGTGGAGGGGGCTTATTACCGGTCACCCACTCTATGTACAGAAAGTAGGGAAAAGGGTGGAGGGGGCTTATTACCGGTCACCCACTCTATGTATAGAAAGTAAGGAGAAGTGGGGGGTGGGCTTATTATCGGTCACCCACTATATGTACAGAAAGTAGGGAAAAGTGTGGGGTGGGCTTATTACTGGTCACCCACTATATGTCCAGAAAGTAAGGAGAAGTGGGGGGTGGCTTATTACTGGTCACCCACTCCATGTACAGAAATTAAGGAGAAGTGGGGGGTGGCTTATTACTGGTCACCCACTCTATGGACAGAAAGTAGGGAAAAGTGTGGAGTGGGCTTATTACCGGTCACCAACTCTATGTACAGAAAGTAGGGAGAAGTGGGGGGTGGGCTTATGACCGGTCACCCCCTCCATGTACAGAAAGTAAGGAGAAGTGGGGGGTGGCTTATTACTGGTCACCAACTCTATGTACAGAAAGTAGGGAAAAGTGTAGAGTGGGCTTATTACCGGTCACCCACTATATGTATAGAAAGTAAGGAGAAGTGGGGGGTGGGTTTATTATCGGTCACCCACTCTATGTACAGAAAGTAGGGAAAAGTGTGGGGTGGGCTTATTACCAGGCACCCACTCTATGTACGGAAAGTAGGGAAAAGTGGGGGGTGGGCTTATTACCAGGCACCCACTCTATGTACAGAAAGTAAGGTAAAGTGGGGGATGGGCTTATTACCAGGCACCCATTCTACGTACAGAAAGTAGGGAAAAGTGTGGAGTGGGCTTATTACCGTGCACCCACTCTATGTACAGAAAGTAGGGAAAAGTGTGGAGTGGGCTTATTACCGGTCACCAACTCTATGTACAGAAAGTAGGGAGAAGTGAGGGGTGGGCTTATGACCGGTCACCCACTCTATGTACAGAAAGTAGGGAAAAGTGTGGAGTGGGCTTATTACCGTGCACCCACTCTATGTACAGAAAGTAGGGAGAAGTGGGGGGTGGGTTTATGACCGGTCACCCACTCTATATACAGAAAGTAGGGAAAAGTGTGGAGTGGGCTTATTACCGGTCACCAATTATATGTACAGAAAGTAAGGAGAAGTGAAGGGTGGGCTTATTACCAGGCTTATCACTGATAAAATAAGGCATCATTTCAATAAGTATATTTTGTAAGAAAGCTAGGTCTCGGTGTTTGATCGTTGTAGGGTTTCTCATAGACCTACCTGAAATGTCATACAAAAGTCCTCCTCAACGTCTCCCTCGTAATTCAACAGCTCCTCCAGACTCACAGCCAACACCTATAAATATCAAACTCTTATAGTGTGACATACTGTGTTTAGAGGTTATCAGCTAAAGACTCCAATAACAGCCTGAGGGTCTGAAGGCCCAAGGGCTGATATGGGTGGCGGACTGATATGGAGTAGGATATGGAAATTGGCCATATGGTAACTTTTTTATCATATACTGCTCTATAACATCAAAAGTATAAACAATCATACATAAAACTGACAGAAAATTTATAATTCACGACCTTAACAATAATCACATTCTACTTTAAATATGAATAGAATAGCATAACAGACGTACACTACCAGTTAGAGGTGTGATTTTACTGAAAATTGTACAACTGGAAGTTAAATGGATATGGCCCGTGCTGGGCAGATATAGCACGACAATTTCAGTGCTAAATGTTCATTAAATAGCATCACCATTGACTGCAGGAAAATTAACTGAAAAAATATAGAAATTCATGAAATACAGAGACGAAATAGTGATTTTTAAGTTTGACTCGGAACTGTATACACACACAAAAGTAGCTGAAGGTTTAAATATCTATCTGTTAACCTCGAAGACCCTGTTCATTTAGTACAAATACATGTGACTTTGATTTTAACACTTACCGGTTGAACAAGTTTGAAATCCTCCAAGGTCATTTGTGTGATCCCTACGACAGCATTGGGATTGTTGTACGGGACAACTGCGGGACTGAGCAGCTTCTTGTAGCAGCAGGGTGGGAATCGTATGTCCAGATTGATACTGTTGTAAACTGCTAGTCCCATCAGCTAAGCAGGAGTTAAGGCCCTTTAGGAACTCTTGTATGTAACTTCTACTATCATAAAGTGATACAGACTTGTGGAAAATACTCACTGTGTAATGCTTTTGTGCCCGAAGTGTTTGGGCATGAAGTGAAATTTTATCATTTCTATAAGAAATTACGAAAAAAAAGTTCTTATACTAGTACAGCTGGTTAATTACTGACCATTAATTATAATGTCAGAACAAAAGGATACCACTCCCATGAGATTGAACTCCTGGTAGCTTTCACACGGTGCTGTGCTGAACCAGTGAGCCCCAGCCTTTTTATCGTAAGTGAACATCCCTGTTGGAGAGAAAATATGAATTAAAATTGACATTTCAATTGAGGATCCAGAGTTCCAATGATGGAATCTGACAGAAATTATTAAAGTTTCACTGAGCGATACTGTACATTCATCGGATAACTGTGATAAAGGTCGAGAATTAACAAGGTGATATAGCTACGTAAGATGAATAATATTATAAGTTTAACCTGTTCGAAGAGTAACTCTAACATAAATGCTAATAGTTGGTACATTCAATTAATTATCCACATGAAAACTCTTAAAGGTACCTGTCATGACAAATATATCTCATTTTTTGTTTATTTACCACAATATTAAAATTAGAATTTCAGTTAAAAAATTTGAACGTTTCAATTCACAGAGGGTACGATATTTTAAATCTTTTGCACACATGAGGCTGAGCACATATTTTTCTCATGTGAGATTCATCCTCATTTGCATGTTAAAATGCACATGAGAAAATGATGCTAGATCTCACGTAAACAGCTCATGAGCTTTTTGTTAGCAAATTTTGGTATCCTCCTCTCACAACCCCATGACCCTACGACCCCAACTTCATTATCCTATTTGTTTTGTTTTCTTTCAAAAGTATGCAAAAAAAAATCAAAAAGAAAAGTTAAAAACCAGACTTTTACAACCCAACAACCCATTATTTTAATTTTTTAATTAGAAATGAACATCCCTGGTAGAAAAACTGATGTTGCAGTGGTGTAAAAATTAAGCTAGTTTGACCCAATTTTCTGCCTCCTTTACAGAAGAAAAGTGTACATTCATTTCATTAGCAAAGTATTTGAAAGTATTCTGTCAATATGGTAGGGTTTTTAGATACAATGCTAATAGAAAGATCCCTAAATATGAAAAAATCTATTTATTGAAAAACGCCCCAGTAAAATAGTGCTATGCAAAATAGAGTCATCATCAGAAGTGAACTTTACCCTGATTTTGTTCCAAAAAATTCTGAAATTACGTATCTCATTGATAAAGGAATTTTTTATGTTTAGGAAAATAATACTTGGCCACCAAAAGTCATAAAAATTTCCAAATCACTGTTGTTTGAATTTAGAATTTTCCCCCAATACTTGTGTAAAATGAATTTAATGTTATTTTTTTGTTATTTTTTTTTTCATTTGAAGTCTGTGACTATGGTTAATGTTACCCAGTTAAATTCACATAAATAATAGTTTTGTCAAGGTTTTGTTAAGTTTTTCTATTGAAAACTCTATGGTTGATAAGTGATCAAAAACCTCGACAAAATTCACTGCATATATTCTAACTTCATTAGTTTATGCAAATTTAAAGTGGTTACCATGACAACCATGTTTGAAAACATTCACAAATATTTTCATAATAGTGTCGGGGAAGTAGTAAAAATTTAAGGGGGGAAAAATGGATATGAGAATTCAGTAAAAGGTTTGGAATTTTCATGGATTTGGTGGTCAAGGAAGGTCCAAACCACATGAGAAGTTCTTTTAACCCGTTCAACACTGTAGACCATAATGGACTCGTCCAGATCAATGCATGGTAGAGTCTACTAAAGTTACATAGGGGTGAAAGGGTTAAGTATTTTTTTTTAGAAATCTTTGGTATAAAAAGCAATATCATAGTTAACAGATTATTTAGACTTACCATAATCCGACTGAAATATCTGTCGGATGAGGAGGAGGAACCATTCCTTGGTCAGACCCCCCATGTCCAGTCCAGCTTCACCCATGAAGGTCACCTTCAACTTCTTTTTCAGGTCGTGCTGTTTCCTTGCGATCTGTTTACAGTGATAAATTGAATGTCCCACATGAACATCTCTTTAACAGCAATGCCACATCCTATATGTTTTTTTTATCTTAACAGCCTCCTTTAGTCAATTTTAAAGCACCCTAGCCACTAATTCGGGAAAATATGAAGTCTTTTTAATGAACAGTTAATTGCTACGATTTCTAGTAGCACGGTTGTTTGTTGGTGTTTTATGTCCTTTTAACAGCTATATGGTCATTTACGGACATGCCAGGTTTTGGTGGTGGATGAAAGTCGAAGTACCCGGGGGAAAACACCCGACCTGCAGCCAGGACCTGGCAACCCCTAAGGAAGGCTTCCCTCGTCCAAGTGTTCGAGAGTTACTGGTAGTAGTATGTCAGACATATTAACAACTCGGCCATCTGGGCATAAATAAAGTTTTAATTATAAAGTCTTGTTTATCATTGAGGGAAAAATAAATCCCAATTTCGACATTTAAGTGAAATAAAAAAAAATGTATTTTACCTCATTTAGAGAATCTGACACTATGTGGGACCTTCTCACGTTGAGGTTCAAAAACAGCATGCCAACGTCTGGTAACTGTCTTCTTTGCACCTTAGCAACCAAGCTTCTCTGTAACAGAGAATGCACATTACAAGCTTCTATGTGACATGGATCACCACAAACCTCTAACATTATTAACATATGAACCTTACAGTCGTATACTGGTGCCTCAAAATTACAAGTTACAAGTAAAATAAATCAATTAAGAAATCCATGTCATATGTCGTGGTTGACCTTTTCACCTTGGACTTGAGCAACGACCAAGGTCACTCCATACATGCTTCTTTTACCTTGAACTTAAGCAAATCAATGTCAAGGTCAATACTTTTTTATGAATGAACCTTTCACCTTGATATTGCTCTTGTTTATTCATTTACTTTTTAAACAAAAACAAAACAAACAACCTCAAATCAAATTGCCAAGGTAAATCAATTACTGCATGATAGAGGTCTATGTCAAGAGAAATCACTTCATGCATAAACCATTTGACCCAAACTATAGGTAATTCAGGCTGTCTCTAATGTAAACTCACCCTTGCCATGATAATCATCTGTTGCTCGGAATCTTTCTGTAGTATAGACCTCTTGGCCGATATACTTAGGATGAACGGGTACTGACAGAACGAAAACCTGTAGTACAATAACATAAAATGTGTAACCACTTCATTGTTTCTATTTCATTATAGCTGGCATTGAAAGAGATATTTTTTTCATAATCACATTTCATAAACAATGATGTCATTGGTAAAAAAGGATTCATAAATATGCTAACAGCTGAACAGTTATTTGAAAAAAAAAAAAAAAAAATCTCAAAAACAAATTTCATGATTGTTCAGAATATTCATGACAGTCTATCCTGCAGTAAGCCCAGAGGTGCAGCATTAATTTCTAACTCAAAGTAGGTGATATATTTATTACAAGAAAATAAAAGGTGGTTGTAGACTTTTCTACTAAACTGCAATAAATATAAACAGGCCAGATAAAGACCGTATGATTTGTTATATGATATCTAATACATGCCTTGATGAAAAAATACAACAACAACCAATGTCTTTTACTGTCAAAGAGAAATGGAACTGTGACCCCGACCTACATTGTATTTCGTTACAAAAAAACTTACCCTGAACAGTGACTAGGGTTCTGCCACGTGTAGTATTCGGCCATGAGGTCCATGAAATCGAGGCTACTGTTGTAGAAATCTGCGATTGGCACTAGTAGGGGACTAGACAAATTGTTGGCAGCATCTACACAACATGACAATGAGTACCATATATAAGTCAGGAAGATATTATATGCATGATATGGTGACTGGGTCAGAACAATAAAACTGGAAAAAAAAACTTTGTCTGCCTCCTAAACTACTAGGCCAATTTCAATGAAAGTTTACAGATACGGTAATTATCCCCTGATGTCGTGCATCAGGGAAGTATTTTTTTCATTTCAACCCTTTTTAAGCAATTATTGCCCTTTGTTAAAAATCTTTGTCCTGACAACTCTTCCTTATCTATTAGGATGATTTCACCAAAACCGGTTCATCTGGGCTAACAAGATTTGGTTTGCAAGTATGTTTTGGCTTTGGGAGGGAGTACAGGAAGTATGTCAGTGACCTACATGTATATACCTGGTTATGTACACCAGTTTTGAAAGCAAATGTAACGAGGTCAAATCCAGAACAGTGGTTTTTAAAGACAAATCAAAACTTTAAATTTGAACAGATTATTAAAGTAACAAGATAATTAGCACCGGTTTTCCACACTTACTCAGCAATGCCATGACTTTTGTAGCACTTGGGATCCACCAGGTACATTTTGCCAGGGGAGGTAAATCTTGGGGTTTTGTGGGGAACAGTCGCTGTATGATGAAACTGTGTAGGCGTCGTAAGATTCGAGTAAACGTCCCTAATTTTAATCTGAAAGAGACAGTTAACAGTTGTTCACTGCATACAACCTAGGAAATTTCCGTATAATTATCGGCCTCCGTAATATAGTAATTAAATGCGGAGGGTGAAATTAGTACTGGGCGAAAATAGATTTTGTGTGCAAGGGTAGAAAGTTTGACTGGGCGAAAAATTTGTATTATACAGTATATCTCAAGTTTAGTCTTGTAAAAAAAAAAAAAAAAAAAAAAACATTCCAGAAATGGTGTTTAATTCTCTTTAGAAAAATGGATTTTTTTTATTAAAGATTTTTTTAAAGTTTATGTTGATACAAAATATCATTATTTGGAAATACACCAACAGTATGGCAACTTAATTTGTTTAACATTGCTATTAACTAAACTCTACTGCAGACATCTAAGTGTATGACCCTGAAGGTAGGGATTCTTATCACTTTTTAAGTGTATACACTAGGGTTCGACACTTTCATAGGTTATCCAGTCAGATTGAGATTTATCAATTTCATTATCAGGACCAGCTATATAACATCACCAAACATAACTGGTCCTTAGGACTTAATATGCTATCAATATCATTTGATAGATAGATTATGAATTATAAATATTCCTGTTTGAAAACTGCCTAAAAAAAACAGATATATTTCATGACTATTGTCAAAATTGTCCTAAAAACCATATTTTCATCATGTGTTTTTTTACATCCGATCATTTTACATGCAGTCAATTACTTTTATGCTTCAAGCTTGGGATGTTTCCTCCTGGAAATTTCAGACTAGTTACATTGACATAGGACTAGCTAATAATTTAACCACTAACAAAACTTTAAGTTGGTGTATTAAACCCTGTGTAAAGTATATAGAGACCTAAAGAATATAGAGACCTTGAAACGTAACATTATTCTACCCCCTCCCCCC